CTGGTTAACTTACCTTTCACAGCTTCAAACACAAAATATTCAGGAGTAAATACACTACAGGATGATGCGGACAGCATTGTCATTAAATTGCATAAGAGAATATTTTTATTTCTATGTAGGCTTCATAACATCCTCCTCAGTTCTCCTAATTTAGCTCAGAGATTTGGGCAGCTTGTATAATTACAGGAAGGAGTTGCTTCTCTGGTTTATTTCATTATAAGGATTAGCAGTTTTTGCCTCTGGCACATCAGGACTAAACACCCACATCAGCAGCACTTATACTTTACTCAGTATCTTGTGGTGCTCAAATGTGACTTAATCTCACTCAGGAAAATGGCTGCAAATGATAAGTGTGGAGCATGTGGTTAACAAGAAGCAGGTCAAGGAGTTTGCCTTTGTTTTAAATTGACATGTTCCTGTTGCCTGACCGTTCTCGTGCTCATTCATATTCAGAGATTCCTGTAACTATGGACCTTTCCCTTTAAACTTTAACGTCTTAGATTATTGAAGTCCCACTCTTCGTGGAAACTCATTAAAGTTTGTCCTAAATTAGGGTAAGAATTCAGTCTTTCAGTGCAAGCTTTCGTCTTTCACATGTTAAATAGTCTAAAATGTGACATTAGCTGTCGTGTCTCTTGAGTTCTGACACTAAATGTTGAGCTCCTTTGGCTTTATGCTCGTACAGTTCAGCCCTACTCGGCCACCAAAGTTTGTGGTTGTTGTAAAACGCATCACGATTAGTATAAACGATCATATATGATTGCTCAAACTGCTGAAAAGCCCACATCCTTTTTATAAGATTAATTGGACACAATTGAAAGTGGCTTTGTCATAAGGCTATAAGTTATTGTCCGTCCGTGCGGCTATAACCTCACATTCACTTCTATGGTCACTTTAGATTCACCAGTTTACCCAAAGCTTTGCTTCACTTTGGACTGTGGGAGGAAGCCGGAGTGCCCTGAGAGACGCACAAAAACCCAGGATCTGCTGTCATGTTTATACTAATAAACCTCTCTTCCTTTGAAGTGACCTGCGTAAGTTCAAAGAAGCCAAGAAGCAATTTGACAAAGTGAGCGAGGAAAAGGAGACGGCGCTGATCAAGAATGCCCAAGCTCCCCGTAACAAGCAGCACGAGGTGGAGGAGGCCACCAACATCCTCACTGCCACGCGCAAGTGCTTCCGGCACATTGTCCTCGACTACGTCTTACAGGTACAGCCCGCTGGATGTTGAATGACAGCAAGGGATGCACTGACATGTGGCCTACTGTGCATTTTAAATAGCAGTAACAGGGTTTTATGCTTACACGTAGGATGATCTAAAAAAAGAAATGCGGTGCTATTTCAGGGAGATTTTGACTTGAAACTGAGGCAGTTTTCAGTCAGACTATATTTATATATAGCAACAGATTGCTGACATTCAGCTTTTAAGTATGGATCTCAAAAAAGCTGAGGTGCACGCTGTCATGTTCAGAATTTGGATGAGAACTTATTATTCAGCATTTAATTAAAAAATGCTATTTTTGCACAGGAATGCTGCGTTTGATTCTGTTTTATCCAAAGTGAACAAAAAAAAGTACTCAGAAAGAGGTTTAATAACCTGGTTAGTCGGAAAAGTTTCTTCAGTTTCCAAAATCAGTTTTTGAATTAATGTTGTTCGTCTCCTTTTGCTCGTTTTCTTTCTCATTTTCTCTGTCAAAGCCACTTAGATATTTTCTGCTGTAACCTTACTCAGTGCTTTTGTGCCATTGAATGCATCAGCTCTGCTCTCGGCCACGGCAGTGCTGATGAATGCTTTGTGGTTTCTGATAAGGCAGCTGGCGGCCCTGTTATTGAATCTCCCTCCCAGAAGAACAGACAATGCTGTATGGGCACCCTTCACTCCTTGAGCAAATGAGATGGTGAATTGAAACCAAACTGGAGGTTTTAATATAGGTTTGGCAGTCTGCTCCAGTGGCCCACTCTATAATCACCATCTCATAAAAAAAGAGTCCTGGCTGTGAGAAACGAGTCTGGTTTTTATCTCGCTTTTTAGTGTGCTTATAGGAAATCTATAAGCTAGCAGCTAGCTCAGCTGATTTTTAAATGGGTCTCCATTAAAGTTTCACATTTGGGCAGTGCTGTCAGCACTTTAAAAACTAACTTCTGCAGCGGTGCTTGCAGGAAACATTTGAGACAGACTTTAACTGTATTTTATTTTATTTTATTTTTTGTGCTTGTTAGTTCGTTTTTTTCATCTTTGTGGCATTTGTGCTTGATTATACATTACGCAGTTTATAGTGACATGCAAGATGGTAGCGGGAGAGGAAAATATATGAGTGAGGTTGTAAGCCAGACTCGCATTCACGGCGTTTTAAGAGTGAAGCATGTCTCTTTTACTATGTTGTGCCACGTCGAGCTGGAGCATAAAATATTAAACTTCAGGGATTTCCTGGCTCACTGATGGTGAAGTGTGCTGCTAGTCTGGAAAAATGGAAAAGCATCTCGCTCAGTAACCCACCCCCCACCCCCGTATGTTACCACTTCTATTGTTTTCACCACTATTAGAGATAAGTGAAAGTTGTTTGTGCGTAAAAACTTGACAAACCAAACGTGACAAATTGAAATGTTACATTCCCACAAGTTTGCAATTGCTGCAGCTTTACAAACCAATTTCCAAATAACTGCTCTGATAGTTTGCTTGCGGCTGTAGTGTTGACACTATATTGCACACTGAGAGTTAAATAACCATCGTTTAGAGGTGCTGCTTTGGTCCAAGCTACTAATTGACTGTAATCGAGAAGGAGGGGGGCTTGTAAAAGTCGCGATGCGTCAACTGTTGTGGTTTGGGGATGGAAAAAAATAAGCTTCCTCCCCAGGATGGGAGTTAACATCTGTGTATAAACACAAGTGTGGTTAGAGTCGCTTGAGAAAATTGCCTTAAAACCTGCAGCCATGAAATTACTGCTGACCATAAAAGACATTTCCTTTACTTTTATTCTCCGGGGTATTGAAGCATGGTGACCCTGTTTTCACTACACAAACAAAAAGGGGCCGCTGGACTTAGGTTAATTCAGAAGTATGAAGCGAAGTGTGGGATTACTTCTGAAGCTGGCCTTC